CAGAGAGCGAAGAAGAACTAAAGAGCCTCTTAACGGAAGTGAAAGAGGAGAGTGAAAACGTTGGCTTAAAAACTCAACATTCAGGAAACTAAGATCCATGGCATCTGGTCCCATCACTTCATGGCAAACAGATAAGGAAACAATGGAAACAGTGGCTGACTTTATTTTCTTGGGCTCTAAAATCACTGCATATGGTGACTGCAGCCATGAAATTAAAAGACACTTGCTCCTTGGAAGAAAAGTTATGACCAACCTAGACAGCATATTAAAAAGCAGAGACATTACTTTGCCAACAAAGGTCTGTCTAGTCAAAGCTATGGTTTTTCCAGTAGTCATGTATGGATGTGAGAGCTGAAGTATAAAGAAAGCTGAGTGCCAAAGAATTGATGCTTTTGAACTGTGTTGTTGGAAAAGACTCTTGAGAGTCCCTTGGACTGCAAGGAGATCCAATCAGTCCATCCTGAAGGAAACAGATCCTGAATACTCATTGAAAGGACTGATGCTGAAGCTGAAACTCCAATACTTTGGCCACCTTTTCCGAAGAACTGACTCATTTGAAAAGACTCTGATGCTGGGAAAGACTGAACGTGGGAGGAGAAGGGGATGACAGAGGATGAGATGGCTGGATGGCATCACCGACTCGATGGACATGAGTTTGAGTAAACTCCGGGACTTGGTGATGGACAGGGAAGTGTGGCGTGCTGTAGTACATGGTGTTGCAAAGAGTTGGACATGACCAAGTGACTGAACTGACACACCCAACATAGAGGCTTCAATATATAAGGCAAATACTTCACTATATAAGGAAAATACTAACAGCCATAAAAAGAGAAACTGACAATAACACAATAATAGCGGGGGACTTTAAAGCCCCACTTTCAATGGACATATCATCCAGACAGAAAATCAATAAGGAAATATAGGCTTTAAATGATACATTGGACCAGTTGGATTTAATTGATATTCATTGAGCATTCCATATAAAAGCAGCATTCTTCTCAAGTGCACATGGAACATTTTCTAGGGCTGATCACATGCTGGGCTACAAAGTGACCCCCAGTAAATTTAAGAAAACTGAAACCATGTGAAGCCTCTTTTCTAAACAATGCTATGAAATTAGAAATCAACTACAAGAAAAAAAACTGTTAAAAAAAAACCCCACAGACACATGGAGGCTAAACAATATATGCTACTAAACAACCAATGAATCACTGAAGAAATCAAAGAGGAAATGAAAAAATACTTAGAGAAAATGAAAATGAAAGCACTATAATCCAAAACCTAGAGGATGTAGCAAAAGCAGCAAAAAAAAAAAAAAAAAAAGTTTATAGCAATACAATCTTACCTCAGGAAATAAGAAAAACCACAAACAACCTAACCTCACACCTAAAGCTAGAGAAGAACAAAATCCAAAGTTAGTAGAAGGAAATAAATCATAAAGATCAGAGCAGAGATAAATGAAAATAAGAGATTACTACAAATAACTATATGCTAATAAAATGGACAACCTAGAAGAAATAGAGAAAATCTTAGAAAGGGACAATCTCCCAAGACTGACTCAGGAAGAAACAGAAAACTTGAACCAGTCACAAGTACTGAGATTGAAACTCCCAAGAAACCAGAGTCCAGGATCAGATGGTGCACAGGCAAATTCTATCAAACATTTAGAGAATAGTTTCTGAAACTATTCCAAAAAAAATCACAAAGAACACTCACAAACTCATTATAAGGCTGCATCACCTGATAGCAAAACCAAAGATACCACAAAAAAGGAATTACAGGCCAACATCACTGATGAACACAGTCACAAAAATCCTCAACAAAACACTAGCAAACCAAGCCTAACAGTACATTAAAATGATCAAGGGGTATTTATCCCAGGGATGCAAGGACTTTTTAATATCTGCACATCAGTGTGATACACCACATGAACAAATTGAAGCATAAAAACCATAAGATCATCTTAATAGTTGCAGAAAATGTTTCTGACAAAATTCAACACTCATTTATGATAAAACTCTCCAGAAAGTGGGCAAAGAGGGAACATACCTCAACATAATAATAAGGCCATATATGACAAAGCTACAGGTAACATACTCAATGATGAAAAGCTGTAAGTGTTTCCTCTGAGATGAGGCGCAAGACAAGGATGTCCTCTCTTGCCACTTTTAGTCAACATAATTTTGGAAGTCCTACCCATGGTAATCAGAGAAGAGAAAGATATAAAAAGAAATAAATGGAATTAAAATTGGAAAGGAAGTAAAACTGTCACTCTTTGCAGATGACATACTATACATTGAAAACCCTAAAGATCCTACCAGAAAACTACTAGAGTTCATTAATGAATTCAGTAAAGTAGCAGGATACAAAATAAATATGCAGAAATCTCTTGCATTTCTATATACTAACAAAGAAAGATCAGAAAGGGAAATTAAACAACACCATTTACCATTATATCAGAAAGAATAAAATAGGAATAAACCTATCTAAGGAGGCAAAAGACCTGTACTCCAAAAATTATAAGACACTGATGAAAGAAAGTAAAGATGACACAGATGGAAGATATATCATGTTTTTATATTGGAAGAATTAATACTGTCAAAATAACTGTACTACTCAAGGCAAGCTACAGATTCAATGCAATCCGTATCAAATTACCAATGATATTTTTCACAGAAATAGAATTAAAATTTAAAAAATTTGTATGGAGACACAACAAAAGACTCCGGATATCCAAAACAATTTTGAAAAAGAAAAACAGCTGGAGGAATTAGGCTCTCTGCCTTCAGACTATACTACAAAGCTACAGTAATCAAGACAGTATGGTACTGGCACAAAAACAGAAATATAGATCAGTGAAAGAGGATAGAAACCCCAGAAATAAATCCATGCACCTAAATGTCCACTGACAGAAGAATGGATAAAGAAGACTGATACATATATACCACGGAATATTACTCATCCATTCCATAATGAAATAATGCCATTTGCAGCAACTTGGATGTATCTGGAGATTAGTCAGATGAAGACAAGTATCATATGATATTGCTTATATGTGGAATTAAAAAATGATACAAATGAATTTATTACAAAACAGAAACAGACTCACAGACTTAGAAAACAAACCTAAGGTTACTGAAAGGGAAAGGTGGGGGAGGGGCAGAATAAATTAGAAGTTTGAGATTTACATGCACACACTACTATATTTAAAATAGATAACCAACAAGGACTTATTGTATAACACAGGGTACTATGCTCAATACTCTGTAATAACCTAAATAGGAAAATAATTTGAAAAAGGATACATGTATAACTGAATTACTTTGCTGAACACCTGAAACACAATATTGTTTTCAATTATACTCCAATATAAAATAAAATGAAGAAAAAAAGTGGATTAAAGACTTGAACTTAAGACCTGAAACAATAAAACTCCTAGAAGAAAGCATAAGTGGTAATTTCCTTGACAGTGGTCTTGGCAATTATTTTTTGGATTTCACACTAAAAGCAAAGGCAACAAAAGCAAAAATAAACAAGTGGACTACATCAAACCAAAAGCTTCTGCATAGCAAAGGAAACCATCAACAAAACAAAAAGGAAACCTACCAAATGGGAGAAAATCTTTGCAAACTATATACCTGATAAGGGGTTAGTATTCAAAATCTATAAAGACCTCATACAACTCAATAGCAAAAACTAATCCAATGGAAAAATGAACAAAGCTCTGAATAGACAGCTTCCCAAAGAAGACATACAAGTGGTCAACAAAGACATGAAAAGGTACTCAACATCAGGAATCACGAGGGAAATGCAAATAAAAAACTACAATGAGATACCACCTCATACCTGTTAGAATGCCTATCATCAAAGAGATCAGAAATAACCAATGTTGGTAAGGCTGTGGAGAAAAGGGAACCTCTGTGCATCACTGGTGGGAATGTAAACTGGTGCAGCCACTATGAAAAACAGTATGGAGATTCCTTAAGAAATTAAAAATAGGACTACCACATGATCCAGCAATTCTACTTCCAGATATTTATAGGAAAAGAATGAAAATACTCAAGGAGATATCTGCACCCCCATGTTCACTGTAGCATTATTTACAATGGCCAAGATAAGAAATGACGTGTGTCCATCAACAGATGAATGGATAAGGAAAAAAATGTATATATAGTGGAATATTATTCAACCATTAAAAAGAAGGAAATCTTGCTATTTGCAACAACATGGGTGGACCCTGAAGGTATTATGCTGAGTGAAAAAGGTCAGAAAGAGAAAAAAATAAGATGAATACTGCACAAATTTCAAGTAGTAAGTCATGGGGATATATCATACAGCATGGTGGCTTTAGTAAATACTGCATTGCATATTTAGAAGTTGCTGAGAAGAGTATACCTTAAAAGTTCTCATCACAAGAATAAAAAGGTTTTGTAACTATGCATGGTGACAAATGTTAACTAAACTTATTGTGATCAGCTCACAATATAAACAAATAGCAGATCACATTATACACCTGAAACTAATATGTCAGTATTACCTCAATTTTTAAAAAAACCACTTAATGTCTGTCTAAGAGGGGACTCCCAGAGTCCCTCCCTCAGGAAAGCGCGTACTAACTGGGGAGTCTGAGGGAGCCTCCCCATCCTGAGAACCAGGGAGGAGGCCAGATAAGGCAGCTGGGTCTTCCGCAGGCTGGTCCCGGCAGTTAGCTGGCCTGTGCTGGCGGTGGGCGTGGGGTCAGACTCCTTCAGAAGTGTTTGGCGGAACCAAGGCAGGAGACCTAAAGCTCCCCACCCTCGCCGCCACCCGAGCGGCTGGGCTTGTTTCCTCTCCTGGAGTTGGTGTTGGTTTCCCTTGCGGTAAAGGGGAGGCAGCCTAGGAGAGCATGGAAACCCCTCCCCCCAACCCCCCTCAGCTCCCAGGCCTGGCACACACACTGCCCGGACAGGGTTCTTTGTCCCCTCACCCAGTCCTTCTGACTTTTGTTTCTCAGGCCTCACCTGAGAAAAAGAAAGATGGTTCTCTTGGACTCGGCTCTGTGGTTGCTGGGGGCCTGGCGTTCCAGGTGTGGCCTGAGGGCCTCCAGCAGTCCTGGGTGCAGCTTCTCAGCCTCGTCTAAAATGAACAGGGTCTGGCGACAGTGCTCCTGCATCTTCTTGATCTGGTCTGTCAGCTTCTCCTGCGCAGAATATGGGGAGCTGCTGGCAAGCAGTGGAAGGCACCTCCTGGCCCCGAGGGCCCTAGTCAGGCGCTGGTTTCCCCAGGGTGTCTACAATGGATCACCTGGACCTGGTTTCCACCACAGAACCACCAATCTAAACCTGTGGGGATGGAGCTAGGGCATCCTCCTTTAACAGGCCTCCCGGGGATTCTCCTGCACCGAGATTTAAAAGCCAACTAGTGGAGCCAGCCTGGGGAAACGGCCCTGGGAAATGGCCCCAGCCCTCTTCCTCCCCTCCCGGATGAGGTTCCATCCCAGAAGTAACTGCTAACTCACCCTCCCCAGGGGTAGCAGTCAGGCTGTCACACGGGGACGACTGCAGAGTCAGGCAGTAGAGGCAGGCTCGGGTGCCCAGAGGCAGCCCTGTCTTGGACTCCCAGGAGCAGAGCGCCCACCAGCTTCTTCCCTGGGATCTCAGTCCAGCCTGGTGCCCGAGGGACCCAACTCAAAACTGGGATTCACCACCCCAGGAAGGACAGTAAGCCCTGGACTGAAAAGATGCTGCTCTGCAGGGTTCCCCCTGGAGAACAGGGCCATGTCCTGCCCCGGGGAGAGGTGTTTTGTTTTTTTTTAATTAATCAATTTTTAACCGTAGGGTAACTGATTTACAGTATTGTGTTGGTTTCTACCAAACATGAATTAGCCATAGGTTTACCCACGTCCCCTCCCACTTGAACTTCCCTCCCACCTCCCTCCCCGAGGGAGAGGTGTTTGAGCAGAGCCCACAATCTCCATCTAACTCTAGCCTCCCTGGTTTTTGACTTCAGCCCCATCTCCCCAGTGTGTGGGTGTGAGAGTGTGTACGTGTCGATTTCCACAGTGGGGAAGCTGAGAGTCGCAGGTATTTTCCTGCAAAGCCAGCTAGCTCTTTCTCGGGAGGCCTGACCAGCAACCTGCCCTGCCAGGCCACACTGAAACTGCCGGGTGACGGGCAATCTGCCCTCAAAGGCTTACATAATCTTCCCAGGTTAACACACTCCAAATATTGAAACTAAAAGCCAAAGACAGACACAGTCCCCTCTGTCAGGCTGCAGAGGGCTTTGGTCATTGCATGGCTAACATGTCTGAATGAATGAAACCCAAAATAGCAGAGCAGCGGAAACTTTTTGTATGTGATGAGTCCACTTGTTGGCATGAAGTGAGTACTTTTGGGAAGCCATGGAAAAATCACTTATGAGAAGCCTCTTTAAAAAAAAATTGTGGAACATGCAACTTTCTGTCCAATATAATTATAAAGACATTAAAGAGCGCAGGGGAACAGCTTGAAGGAAGTACATCAAAATGCTAACTGGCTGTGTCCGTGTGGGGAGATTACGATAAAGCTTCTGCTTGCTCCGTTTCACACTTCCTGAGGCACTTCCACTACTTCTGTTGACAAATTAAACACATGGATTCTCTGGTTAAGCTCAGTGCCCTCTTGGGCCTCACCTGTTGAGTAGCTGTCTCTGTGGGTAACAGGTTTCACTGCATCGTCCCCCCCACTCCACTGTCCTCCAACCCCCATACCAAGGGCTGGCTTCAGCCTCCCTCCCAGCACACAGGCCTGTGTCTCGGCCGCCCAGGCCTCCACCGGGCCCAAGCCCTCACCCTAGGCTCCTCAGCACGGCCGGCCTCACCTTGTATAGGTCCACATTCTTGAGGTGAGGGAAGTGCAACGTGGAGATGAACATCTTGACACAGTTGCTCCTCAGCCCGTCCTGGTACAGGTTTTCCGCCAGCATCCGCGCCACGAAGTTCTTGCCTGTGCCAGACCAGCCGTGGAATGACAGAGCCAGGGCCTTGTCCGGCCGGGGCATCTCTAAGTAGCCCCTCACCGCTGTCAGGACCAGCTCCCGGGCCAGGTGCTGGCCGTGCAGGCGCACGCGCAGGTCCGCCTCGAGGCCTAGGGATGGGGAAGAGGCCACGCTGAGGAGGGCACACAGGTGCATCCCCCCAGGCTTGGTGATGGCCAAGAGACCGAACACCGCTGAGCACCTCTGAGGTGGGAGCCATCCTGTCTGGAGTCCTCATGACAAGAAGCCACTGGGCAGACCTTGCAGCGGAAGAGATTTGGTGCTACTTTCTGAAGAGTTTGAGAAATCCATATTGATTTCACCCTTTCTGAAGGTTCTGAAGACACTCCCCTACCAGGGTTGGCAGAGTCCTCTCTGGAGGAGGAAACCAGCCCCCCATTACCATGAAGTTGCTCCTGCCTGGAAGTTTCAGGACCCCCTAAATATTTTATGGAGACCCCCTTATTTTATTCATTTCAATTCAATTCAGCCAACATCTACTGAAGCTTTGCAAGGGCAAAACCCTCTGCCAAGGCCTTCCTTCCTTTCAGCCATGAGGGTGCAGAGTATGGGAGCCATGGTGGAGACAGGGAGGGTCTCTACCATGATGATAGCTATGGGCAGGCTGAGGTTGGGTCCCTACACCCTGGCATTCTGAATTGCCTCCCCGCCCGCCCCTCCTCCCCTCACAGATTCCTGGCCCTGAGGGCCATGTGAGGTCTAACCTGTGAAGTTGTTGATGATCCTGCAGTCCCCTCTGTCGCAGCAGCCCCAGAAGCTGCAGGACCACGTGCTCAAGATATCCAGGTACTGCTGGCCCAGCAGGGCAAGGCTCCAGCCTGGAAAAGGAGGAGCTGTGAGACAGGAATGGAGCCGGGCCCAGGGCGGGCTGAACACTGCCTCCCTTCAAACCACCAGAGCAGTTCTTCCGTCCTCTCTCCGGAACCACTCCCCACCGCTCTGCCCTGGGCCTTCCACTCATGGCACCTGGGAATGGACTCAGGTGGGAATCTCCAGTATGAGGAAGTTGATGGCCTTGCTATAGATGCATCTCTTGTTGCAGCAAAAGCTCAATTTACTCAACAATAAATCTTATTTTGTGCCAAAGTGTAAGTTACCCAGGCCCTGCCTGCAAGGAGTTTGTGGTCTCCGAGGGAGACAAACAGTAACTGGTGATTGCCATGCTTCCTACTTGCTGTGGATTGCAGAATCATTTGATCACAGCTAACCCCAAGTGTCTCAGTTCTTTTGCTGCTGTTGTTCAGTCGCTACTGACCCCATGGACAGTAGCCAGCCAGGCTCCATTCTTCTATCAGATGTCAATTTGAATATACTGAGCATTAGCAAAAACGAAAAAAAAACAAACCATTCACTGGAATTTAGAACTTTTGATTTAGGGACTTCCCTTGGTGGTCCAGTGGTTAAGACTCTGTATTTCCAATGCAGGGAGCATAGGATGGATCCCTGGTTGGGGAACTAAGATCCCTCATGTCTGGAGGCCCTGCTCCCCTCCCCGCCAAAAAAGAACTTTTAATTTAAATGAAAGATGTTTCTAGCACCACTGCAGGATTACCACCACAGAGCCTAGAGTTAAGGACATCCACTGCAAGGAGCCTCAGAGACCACCAGGGCCAGGACCTTTATGTGACAACCCTGCCTCAAAATTTATCAGTGACAGAGAATAAATCAGAAGTCAGGTTTGGGGGACTCGTAGCCCAGCTTCGGCTTCTGTAAGCAGCAGAGGAGGAGGACAAGGTACTTGAGGGGAGTGCCCAACTGGGGGTTTTCCTTAAAGTCATCAAGAATGTGAGCAAGAGCAGCTCCTTGGAATAATGACAGGGCAAGTTCGGAGACAGCAGGGAAGTGTAAGCCGTGTCTGGAGGAGCCAGGAGACGGCGGGGAGTGCAGCCAGGACCGCTCGTCTGCAGAAGGACGCAGAGCCAGCGCTGAGGGCGGCGGCGGCGGCGGCAGTGATGAGGGTTCCCGGTTCCGCAGAGGCTGCCCTGCTTTTAGCTCGGCCAAAAGGCTGGGCGGAACAGCGGAGCCGGCGGCTAAGGCGCTTGTCTGGTGACCCCGATCGCGACGGCCCAAGACAGGCACGAGGCTCTGAACGCCGCGTCTGGATCCCAGCGGGCCTCGCGCATCCCGCCTGCCCGCTCCCGCCCTTCTGAGCCCCACGATCTTACCCGGGGACCGCGCCGACGGCTCCTCATCCTCCCCACAGTCCTGAGGCCAAACGCGGCAGCTGAAGCTAGCCCAGTAGTGTCTGGAGAGCGCGCCGGCCGCCCTCAGTCGCTCCCGCAGGCCCTGAAAGGCCAGCCAAGCCCTGGCCGAGCCCGCCTCCTCGGTCCCCTCCCTCGGCCTCGCCTGGTCGCCGTATCCCCACGCACTCGGGGGCGGCTGCAGCAACAGAAGCAGGAGCCAGAGCAGACGCTCTGTGCCCCCAAGCATGGCCAGGCCGGCAGCAGGTCCCTCCGCCGCTGGGCCTTCCCGGCCCTTTCAGGGTCCGGGCCTGAGGGCGGGCGCCGGCACTTCCGAGGCCCGGATTGGCCAGGGATTGGCGTTGCTATGGGAACCGCAGGCGGGCCGAGCTCGTTTCCCTGGTGACCCAGGGCGACCCCGGTTCCCGCCGGAACCGAAACCGAATGGTTTTTGAGACTGCAACCCGAGGCCACTTGCAGGCGCCGCCCAGCCGACTGGGGCCTCGCTGCCCGGCAGCAGTCTATTCTGGGTGATCGTGGTTGCAAAGAAGTTGAAGTCAGGCCTAGAAATGGCCACTGTAAATCACCCAGTTACTTTCGTTCGGCTCCGGTGGCCCACCTGAGGGCTACGAAATACGGGTACCCACTAGTGCCCTGTCGGGTGTCTGCAGATCAACTTCCTACCAACCTGTTAGATGAAACCGGGCAACCATCTCACAGGGAGCTTGATTTAGCCAGGGGAAGTCAGCCTTGGGCCTGGCTTCGCTACTGAGGGAAATGAAACAGAGCAGCAAGCAATCAGCAGGTTTCCACAGCTGGGGAAGCTAATGGGCTCGACTGGAGATATTTCGATTTTGGAAACTCCCCGAGAATCATGGAAAAATCACAAGGTCTCACGTCAATGTAATCACAGCCTGTTGAAAACAAGCTAGGCTGAGTATTGAATGCACTTTCTGGGCTTAAATTTGCAACTTTGAAATGCTTGTGACTGAACAGGTTCTCAAGACACCGCTGGCAGAAAACCTCTGGGCCTCTTTTCTCCATAACATGAGCATGTAACAAGCTTGCTAGATTTCCCAAGTACTTACTGCATTTTTTTTCAAAGATCACCTGAGTTATTGAAGCCACTGACCTAAGAGCCATCTTGTCCTAGGAAGAAACTGGTGAATTCATGCTGATAAAATGACTAGTATTTACCCTGGTTTCTTAAAAAAAAAAATCAAGTTTTAAGACTGTGGAAATAATTCTCTACTGGTAACTTTCATGGAGGGTTAACTGATAATATTTGAGATTGGATTTTGATTTTACATTTCACAGTATAAATAAAGCAGGTCGCTTGAAAGTTCTTGGACAATTTGATTTCAAGACATCTTTTCCCTAAAAGACTCAACTTTTTTTTTCAACCAAAGTCAGTCTCAGGTAGAAACAATGACTCCAAACACCAGTTCGCAGATAAGCCTCTATTTTCAGTAAATTTGCTATTTCATTCTCAGTGCTTGGAGACCCCTGGTTGTAAAGCTAGGAGCAACATCTCATGGATGATGGAGACCTCTAGTGGCTCTGGTGAAAACTACAGGCAGCTGTGTTTCCTTACCAAGCAAACTCAATCCTACTCTAGAATAGCCCAAGAACCACTGGCTTTGGCACTGCCCTGAAGCTTGTTAGAAATGCAAACTCAGGCCCCAAACCTACTCAATCAGAATATGCATTTTAGCAAAGACTTTCAAAGAGCAAATGGGCACATAGCACCTTTACTAAGTTCATCTGGATGAAACCTAGCTTTGCAATAGACAACCTCCCCACCTGCTGCCCGCCGTCAAGAGTAATATCTGCCTTGAAAACAGTCTTTACAACTGTTAACTTCATTCTCTTATTTCCTGGGACTTATAAAGCAGCTTATCTTACAAAACTCACCCATGCTAAATCAGTGGTTATGACCATACTTGTCTCTATTTTATAGAATGAGAGCTGCTAAAAATCGTTTTTATAAGAAATACACTGGGTAAAAATAAGCCCATAATATTAACAGAACCATTCCCTCGCTGCTCCCAACTGCCTTTTTAGGCTTCAATACTGGTCTTTCTGGAATGCTTGAGAAGAAAACTAAGCCTGAAATCTCACCTAGAAAAGGATCGTATAAGGTGAGTCTGTGAGGAACATGTTCTAGGCTTCAGCCTCCCTTTTGTATTCAAGCGCAAGTGACTAAAACTGGCACAAACAAAAGTGCTACAAATCAAGTCAAAATCTTGAGAACTCTCCTCAGTTGTCTGGGTGAGGTTTATGATGTCGCATTTCCGCTGCAAAATTTAAAAGTCTGGGTGTCCCAAGAATCATTCTCAGGACCTGGTCTTGTCTTCTAGGCCTCTATGGTAATGTGCTGACAAGTTCTTCAGGATTCATAATTCTTTGAAGAAGCTGCGAGAAAGAAGTAATAAATAAAAAGCACCTAAGAGTTATCCTACTGAAAATCTTGGTTCTGTCACAACCTAATAGGCAACTTCTGAAGACTAATGAGAAGCGTAAAGGTCTTATCTGTCGTTGATTCTGTGCAACAGCCCCTGTGGAAGTTTATGCAGATGCAGAAGATGTAATCTTCTGTCCCCAAACAAAAAGGGAAAGCTGAATTGAAAACAACAGAAATACCCTGAACCAGCAGGCGGGGTGGGGGGATAACAAGAGGAAAAGATGATACGTTAGTACTTATTAAAATTTTTATTGTCTTCTTTTCAGAATTGAAACTCATAGAACACATTAGAAATTTAGGCGCATATCTGTCTTGTTTGATGTCTTACCAAGCACAACCTCTATTTGTGCAAGAGCTCTGAGAGGAAATCCTTGGCAGATCAGAACCGAGGGTCGTGGTTCTTACACCTCCCTCTTAAGCTAATAAATTACTTCCCAGTAAGTTATTCCCAGATTCCCCTCCTAAACATTTTGTATTTTTGAGTAACACCTTAGTTCCTTAAAAACCTGTGGCAGTATAGTATCCAGCCCCCACCTTTTCAACCCAGACTTGAGGAGTGGAGGGCAGGAAAACTGGCCCTCCCCTGCTGCAGAGCCGTCTCTCGAGGCTGGTCCATCTGCCTCGGGCACCGGCCCTGGCTAGCATAGTAGGTGTTTCCTGAAGGGTTGGTCTTTATGTCACTGAGGTTCACGCTCAGACACTGAGAACCTTTTACTAGCTTCAGGTTCTTCAGCAACATAAGTCAGTGTTTCCCTGTGTGAAAATAAATATTTTTTTTCTTGTTAGAATACATATATGACTATATACATACATATACCTTGACTCATGTTTCCTGAAGCCCAAGCTCACAAAACGACAGATGCTGCTTACCATTATTTGAGGAGTGGTCATGGACTGGTCAAAGAATATGGAAGCCGTGGAGAAGAGAGGGTGAAGGAACATGGTGGATAGGAGGGGAAGGCCAAAAGCCTCTTTTTTGTTTTTTTTTTTTAAGAAAAGATGGATTTCTTTGGAAGAACATGTGGCTTTCAGGTGATACTGAAATTTTGCCATATAGAGGACTCATCTTTCCCAAAACAATATACAATGGATGTACCTGAATTCTCCCATTTCCTTACTACATTTCATTTGACTTATTAATCCTGAGAGCAAATACGGAGAAATGCATTATTAATATATTATTAAGCAATACTCTGAGCAAGTCAGATCCTATTAATTTGTTTTGCACAGAAAATTATTTACCCCAAACTAATAATACAGCTTCATATTAAAGAACAATTTTAGAATGAAACCTCTATACCCATATTCCCCCAAACTCTGGAATAAATATATTTAAAAAGTAGGAGGAGTGCAGAAATGCTACCCAGTTCTGATTTTCTTAGTTTTAGAATAGTGAAATGTATCCATGTCTATCTGTAGATGTTAGCTAGGCATACCCAACTTAAGACTAACCAAAAACCCTTCCAATGACCTGATTATAACAACCCTCAAATCTAAAAGATAAACCATAAAAAGGACAGTGTTACAAAACTTTAAAAAACAATATCTACCTCTTCTTTTGAATCAGAATATAGTGTTTATGAACTTTAGGACTAAGAGCTTATGGTTGGTTTTCTCCGAGATTTACCTAAACACACTTTTCCCAGCTTAAGCCAATATTGATTTAGAACATAAATTTATATTCTAAGCATCAGTTCACACCACTCTCTTAGCACAATTCTAACTTTAACCACTATAAATCTGAACACCTTTTAAGATCATATTAAAATAGGGAAGGAGAATGAAGCAGTGTTTGGAAAAAATAATAACATGTTTTCAAAGCAGCCTTCCCTCCTCCATTTTTCCTCAACAGAATCTTCTGCCTTCAGCATTATGAATAAAGTTCCCGAGTTTGAGAACAGTTCTTACTCATTCCACTGGGGCATACCAAAGAACAATATCATGTGTTTGAAAGAATTAGTTCAACTAACATTTATCAAGCAAAGCAACACTGACTACCTTCTTACTGGCTCCCTGATGCTTTGAGGTGAGCACCATCCAAGGTATTCTGAAGCTCAAATGTGTACTTCCCTGGATGCACACAGTACATGAGTTTAAAACTGGAATCAGTGCCTCCTCCTGTTAACACTAGCTCAGTGTTTTGTGCTGATATGTCTTCTTAAATCCAAAACCATTCTGTGTACATCTTCAAATGTACAAACTAAGCACAAAAGTATCCTAATTTCATGTTACTTTAAAGTAGTTACTGGGTACTCAGTTGACTTTCAATCTGAGAAAATTGGAGCATAAATTCTAAACTGTTTTTGAAAGGGTGGTAACCGAAAACTGATCTCCAGTGGCTGGCAGTAAATTTGTTCAACCGCATTGTTTAAATATTAGTCTTTGCTTCACAGAAGTCAAAACCGGAAGAGTCCCTAGACAAAATGCAGCAGAGAAGCTTCCAGCTCTGAGGACACACAAGTGGATTCACCAGGCCAGCTCTCCTCGCCCTATATTTTAATGCAACTGGTTACATGTCAAAATCACTTTGCCAGAACACACAACTAAGCCTGTTTTAGCAACCTGATATTTGAAAGTGCTAATAGAAGGCAGAAGAACAATACTACCTTGTGGGTTCAGAACAAGATTAAATGATGAAAATAGGGTATGACATAAATAAAAATCTTAAGGCTCTTCCTGGTAACCACCTTAATTTTAAGGCTCAGAAGGCTTAAAACCTTTGTTTCTAGCCTTCTGCGTGGCCCAAACCACTAGACAGGTCCAGCAACCAGCAGGATGTGAACTATTAGCTATAGAAGTGAGCTGGCTTTTCTCCTAAGAAAGGCACAAATAGGATCGCCAGTCTCTCGGGAACAACAGCTTTAACAACTGAATACCTTGAAGACAGAAGTGAAAATTCATTTTGGAAATCAGGATGGCAGAGATTGCAGGCAACCTAACTCTTACTCAAGGTGTTATTTTCAGTTTGCTTTGTTAATCTGCAAAGGATTTGCCTGTTTGGGGCAAAAAAGAAAGTAAGCCTCCATAACAGAATTGTGCTTGGGTTGTAACAGTAGGTTCTCTATGGACAATTTTTTGGGATTAATTTGGACATAACCACGAGAAAGAAAATCTTACTTGGGTACAAGTCATGCTTGCTTTTAATATGTTAAGAACTTAAATACAGGGGAACCTGTTTTTCACTAATTCAATCACCTCTTTGATTTTGGTCCTAGCAAGCAGGTCTCCCTCTCTTCTTCCCTCCTTTAAGAATCATCAAAAGCACTACCACCTTCTCACTTAAAGCCCAAGCATCCTTTCTGCTCTGTCCTTCCCTCTAATTCTACCTTAAAAGCATAGTCCCTCCAACAGAGCATACTACTTTGGCTCAAGAGAATGCCGGGTTCCTTGCTGCCACTCCCCAGGAAGCAGTAAAATCCCCAATTTGACTAATCCTGGAAAAAGAGACTCAAGAGATTACAAAGTGTTTTTGGAAGATCCACAACTGTGGAGAAAGGACTATAAGGATGAACTCTAAATACACACTCCAGAACCAACCCCAGCATTAACCTAGTTGAATGTCACACCTCTCTTCATCCTTTGGCATGAGAAATTAAGACTGACCAATGTGCCCCCCACTGCTAGGGTGGGCAAACGCCGAGGAAGTCTGAAGGTGGTTCAGCAGGTACGGTTCTGTGGTCTGAAGCTTGTAAGTCTTTGCTTTAGCTTCTACTACAGCAAACACCAAAGAAATCCAAGGCCACCCTATCCCCTATTACCAGAACGCACTGCTGGCCATTTCCAATCCATCTCATACCATCTGGAACTGATTGTGCTGTTTCTCTATCTTTGTAAAAAGCAGTTGCACTTATTTCGTGGAGAATCACAAGTGCGAGAGAGGCATCCTGTCTTCCACCAACACAGAGTCCGTCCCAAACTGGTCAGTGCACTGCTTGACGGTGGCCAGGACACTCAGGAGCCGCTGGGCCGCGGCGTCCAGGTGAGGGTCAGCGAGCACTGGGGAGATGGGGTCGTGGGCCATGGCGGACTCTAAGGCAGACTTCAGCACACCGTTCTTCAAGGAGTTCAGTCTGTTCCAGGTGGAAACGCGAATGCTGGGAGAAGTAAGTTTTAGAACAGGTTACATAAAGCCTCTCACTGTCAAATGGAGACTGAAGCCTGCCTGGCAGACAAATGTAAATAAATAATTATGTAAAATATCTCAACTAGAAAAGCCATTTCTGTTTTAGAAGCAGCTCTACATTATGAGTGACATTACCACGTTTTGATATTTCCTTCTTAGTAACTAATAAGAGATACACACAACATTTACACATGTTCACTGCAGTGCTCTTTTTAAAGGAAAAATGTGAATCTGAATGTCCGATGACTGAGAAATAGTTAAATAAACTATGGTTCATCCATTCAATGAAAAACCATGCAGCCGTTTAAAGCAGTTATGAAAATTCAGTGGCATGAGGAATTGCCCATATAATATTCAATTGGGGGGAAAGTTGGAGGGAAAAACTGTTTTACTCCAAATCTGTGGGGAAATAAAATGTGTGTACAAGCGCACACACACATACACACATGGTTAGAATGAAGTCACTAGAGTGTTAACAGAAGGTATCCTTACATTTTAGCAAGTAATTTAAATCTCCTTCTTTTTATGTTCCTGAATTAAAAATTCTACCATTAATCTTATAAATAGAAAAAGTTTATGTTAAGGGTATCTGTTTTTCTTAATTATTTTTTGCCTAAAGAGGATCTTTTGTTTATTTTAGAAGAAAAGTACAGATCCCCCTGTAGGTAATGAGGGAACTACTAGGTATGCATTAAGGTCTGACTCTGCATGAGGCAGGCAACCTGTTCTGCAACCATTTGAAAAGTAAGAAAGTAAGGATCTTTGGCTAAAGCATGGAAGGGATGGACAAGCACAGAGGCAGTGTAGTTTTCCAATTCTGAAAAATATGAGTGCCTAGAGCATCAGAATTTCTCCTGCATGACAAAGGATCACTTGACTTCCTTTCAGCTCCAAATCCACTCTTCATGTATGCCCTGCTCTCGTGGACAGAGGTCCTCTAATCATCTCTCCTCTTAGGCTTTCTCAGCAGAGGATGCTGGAGGGAGATGCTTCTGGCTGCTGTACAAGGCAGGAGTGTCGGGAAGGTCATAAAGTGAAGCTCTGCCCTGGCCACATTCCCAGAGCAGGCAGGTCCTCTGTGACACTGCAGCTTCAGCCTGGCTTGGTGGTAACTTTCCTAAGGCCCTCTTGACATGGAAACCAGAGCCCCAAGGCCACCCACCCACGCCGGTATCCTTATTCCCTCCGTAGGCCCACAAATAAGCCTTGCCTGTAGCTTGGAGGGCTTCTACTGGGTCGTGGCTCTCTCTGTTCAGGCCATGACCAGCGGATGGCCTGTGCCTTGCCTGTACTACGGAGGGTTGCTTCCTGCACGCCCAGCATCTGCAAACTCCTGCACTTCTCTGCTATCAAGTGGGCTGGGCTACACCTTCTCCACTGAGGACCAAACCCAGCCTTGGGGCGGGGGGTGGGGTCTCTTCCAAACTGGTTACTCTCCCTCGGCCCTACTTGTGTATCAAAGAGTTTAATCTTCCTTTATATTAAACTTTCCTGTTGAACCCACCATGTCTTTTCTATCCTCTGACTGGACCAGACTGATAGTACTGATTAACACAAAGACATCTTCCTTCACAGATGCAGGTTTTGACTGGATGTATCACTGCTTCCCAGTATTAATGAAGATAATTTAGGGTAGCCTAGGTAATACTTTCTGCAGAATCCTGTTGTTATTTAAAAAAAAAAAAGAGAGAGAAAGAAAAGAAAAGTAAAACAGATCAGCTGCCAGAAGGGGCAGTCTTATGTGATCAGTGTCTCTCTGGGAGTTGACCAGTAGTATCCAAGCAAGGTGGGCCCAAGCTGATTCTTAGTGCTCACACTTTAGTCATACTGGCAATGATGATCTGAAAAGAAGCTCCTCAGAGCCCAGTCTTTACCTCGGTTCCTTGATTTACTTTTTAATTTCTTTGTTCTCTAACATAGACTTTCAGAAAAATGACTTACTGACCACCTAGGGAGATAGTTATTTTTGGTTTACACAACCTCTGGCTGAGATAAGCGAACCACAGGTGGTGTGGCGGTGAGAGGAAGGTAAACACAGTAGGGCAACTAGGGGCATGGACGGCACCAGATTCTGTAGGGGAGCAGGGGCTGCACTCTGACAGTGAAACAAGCTGATACACATTATTAAAGAAACTGGTGATTTCTATTCACATAAACTCAAAATGCTGTCTAAGCCTTGCTGTAGAAATCCTGCCCTGATCGCCTATGTATCAGGTTCTCCAGGGGGTTCTGGGTTCGAAAGTATGAAAAGCACTGCAGGCAGATGCATTTGACCAAGTAACTTACATGCAACACTGATAGAGCGGGGCGAGAATGCTTCTCTCATCCAGTGAGGGGTTCCCAAAGCTGAAAATTAAATGAAACTCAGTGAGTTAGACGAAAGCACCGTTCCTTTCTTGGCATCAAAGTAAGAACAAATTTTGTAAGAAACCCAAATGTGATCCTAGATAATTTTATGCTCCCACAGCTCAAATCACTTAAATTAGAAATAAACAGGGTATGACCAATTAGACACAGGATTCCTAACAGCCCGCACTGCAGTGTTGAACAATAGATATACTCCTTTACAAGGGTCCTTTCTCCTGCTGAGACACTGCAAGGTGCTGAAGCATGCCCATTGTGACAAAGTGTGAAGTCCACAGACAGAGGGAGAATCTGAAGACTCCCAAACTTCAGAAAGTTTTACGGGTGCACAGAGAAATAAAGGCTATTCACATTAGGTTCTCACAAACAAGTAGAAACTCATTTCCTGTAAAAAGAAGTTATACTTGTTCTACTCCAAAATTACCAATAAGAAAAGACTTAGATTATCCTATTCCCTATAACAAAGAATATGATCAGATTTAAACTGGAAAAAACTGCTCTCAGAGGCTGACAAAATGGTGATTGAAAACAGATATAAAAATGCTTTAAGCAGTAATTCAGAGTTAGAAAAGAACTGATTCTGGAATAACTGTCAACCTTCCACTCTTTAGAAGCTCACCTTAATAGCTGGAGGGTCTGGTAGCCCTCAGCACAGTATAGGCCCTCGAAGAAAAAATAGCAAAGGCAATTATTTCCATGTGTATTTCCACAGCACACATGATCACTTTTACAAGTAAGGATAAAGATATTCAGGAACTGAAAATATAGGATAAATGAAACACATGGCACTGGCCAGTTCCTGCTGGCCTCACGCTCTCTGTAACTGTCACCACCTTACATGGGATATGAGGGGCCTGGTGCTCAGTATAAGGCGGTGGCCTGCTTAGCAAATGCTGCCCAAGTATTCTCTGCTGAGGACCCATGGCTCAGCTGATTCTCAGCAACAGACGTTAACAGTTAGTGACCTAGAGTCTGGACAGTTCTGGCTCCAAGGAAATATTCTATTTAGAAAACATTTATTAAGTGTAACTAAAAGTCTGGCACTTAACTGGGTACCATAGGGAATGCAGAGTGCAAACTGAAAATACAGTGTGCTCTTCAAATAGCTCAGATCTAAATAAGGACGTTTCATTTATTCAAAATTAGTAAAACTGTCTTAGTCAAGATAGTGACTTGTCTTTATAATCACTAAGCAATTGCTCTCCTACTCATAATAGAAAAAATCTGGGCCTAGATTGCCATAAAAATAGCAAAAACACCCTATCAAGTAAATTAATTTTTTAAACTGCATGAACCTTTGGATACTATATATTTAACAGTAACTAAATTGGAAATACCAAGGGAACATTTCATGCAAAGATGGGTTCGATAAAGGACAGAAATGGTATGGACCTAACAGAAGCAGAAGATATTAAGAAGAGGTGGCAAGAATACACAGAAGAACTGTACAAAAAAGATTTTCATGACCCAGATAATCATGATGGTGTGATCACTAACCTAGAGCCAGACATCCTGGAATGTGAAGTCAAGTGGGCCTTAGAAAGCATCACTATGAACAAAGCTAGTGGAGGTGATGGAATTCCAGTTGAGCTATTTCAAATCCTGAAAGATGATGCTGTGAAAGTGCTGTACTCAATATGCCAGCAAATTTGGAAAACTCAGCAGTGGCCACAGGACTGGAAAAGGTCAGTTTTCATTCCAATCCCAAAGAAAGGCAATGCCAAAGAATGCTCAAACTACTGCACAATTGCATTCATCTCACACGCTAGTAAAGTAATGCTCAAAATTCTCCAAGCCAGGTTCAGCAATATGTGAACCATGAAATTCCAGATGTTCAAGCTGGTTTTAGAAAAGGCAGAAGAACCAGAGATCAAATTGCCAATATCTGCTGGATCATCAAAAAAGCAAGAGAGTTCCAGAAAAACATCTATTTCTGCTTTACTGACTATGTCAAAACCTTTGACTGTGCGGATCACAATAAACTGTGGAAAATTCTGAAAAGAGATGGGAATACCAGACCACCTGACCTGCCTCTTGAGAAACCTGTATGCAGGTCAGCAAGCAACAGTTAGAACTGGACATGGAACAACAGACTGGTTCCAAATAGGAAAAGGAGTATGTCAAGGCTGTATATTGTCACCCTGCTTATTTAACTTATATGCAGAGTACATCATGAGAAACGCTGGACTGGAAGAAGCACAAGCTGGAATCAAGATTGCCAGGAGAAATATCAATAACCTCAGATATGCAGACGACACCACCCTTATGGCAGAAAGTGAAGAGGAACTAAAAAGCCTCTTGATGAAAGTGAAAGAGGATAGTGAAAAAATTGGCTTAAAGCTCAACATTCAGAAAACTAAGATCATGGCATCTGGTCCCATCACTTCATGGGAAATAGATGGGGAGACAGTGGAAACAGTGTCAGACTTTATTTTTCTGGGCTCCAAAATCACTGCAGATGGTGACTGCAGCCATGAAATTAAAAGACGCTTACTCCTTGGGAGGAAAGTTATGACCAACCTAGATAGCATATTAAAAAGCAGAGACATTACTTTGCCAACAAAGGTCCGTCTAGTTAAGGCTATGGTTTTTCCAGTGGTCATGTATGGATGTGAGAGTTGGACTGTGAAGAAAGCTGAGCACTGAAGAATTGATGCTTTTGAACTGTGATGCTGGAAAAGACTCTTGAGAATCTCTTGGATTGCAAGAAGATCCAACCAGTCCATCCTAAAAGAAATAAATCCTGAATACTCATTGGAAGGATTGATGCTGAAGTTGAAACTCCAATACTTTGGCCACCTCATGCGAAGAGCTGACTCATTGGAAAAGACCCTGATGCTGGGAGGGATTGGGGGCAGGAAGAGAAGGGGACGACAGAGGATGAGATGGCTGGATGGCATCACCGACTCAATGGACATGAGTTTGAGTAAACTTCGGGAGTTGGTGATGGACAGGGAGGCCTGGCGTGCTGCGATTCATGGGGTCGCAAAGAGTCAGACATGACTGAGCAACTGACCTGAACTGAAATTTTATGTTAACTATGTATTTCTCAAGATTCTAAAAATCCTAGTCAAGAAAGAATGATATAAGTAGCAATAAATATAAGACTTTGGTTTCCAGTTGTCTGTGAAGAGAATGAGAATCTTTGACTCCTTGGAAAAAATGACTTTTCCATTTTTATTAAAGTCTTAGATCCCTGGGGGTGAAAGGAGTATAAGCTCTAAACAAGCTGGAAGGATGGGTGCCCATGGCAAAGACCCTGAGTGGAAACAGCAAGGACGCCCGCTGTCGAGTCTGTTTTGCAGGTTTCTCAGGACATCCTAGAGAGCATCTTTCTTGTATATACCAGACCCCTAGCGGAGAGGGAGAGTCCTGCTGGCCCCACCTTTTGGCATTATCGAGAAGGATGAGCATGCTAGCGCCTTCATCGTCTTGGAAACTCTCATAGTGATGGCGGTCAGCATTGCCAATCAGGTAATCAAAGACGGCTGTATCAATGATGTCCAGGAGGCGCGGGCCGGAGTCATAAGGAGACGTTTTCTTCACAGCATCGCAGTAGCTCTCATCATACTCCCACCTGGAGGCAAGCAGCACGGGGCCTGTTTACTGAGTGTCTGCCCCGCATGTAGCATTGTTTAAAATACAGAGAGGAGAAAGTCCCAGACTAGCAGGTTTCCCCTGAACCCTCCACAGTCCTTTTTATTTGTGGATTGAACCCCTGGCTCCTACACAGGGTCAGCACCTGACTAGGTACAGGAGAGAATAAAGTAATGGCTCACAGGAGCATTTACCTGGCCAGTTTGCCCTCTCGGTAAGTCCTGCCCCATGGGTGTCGGTGTTTCTGTAGAGGCCACACATCTGGAAGCCAAAGTGTGACAGACCCCTCCATCGTGTCTCCGTCAGCACAGGCTGGCTCTGTTTCTCGGCAGTAATAACACTTCCCATAGAAACAAGTATTATTTCCTAAAGCAGAGAATGGAACCAAATACTTTTAGAGAAAAAGGACGACTCCAAATTCTCCCCAAACAATGCAGAAGAGAGCAGCTTTATGTGAAAACAAAGATCCTGAATTCATTTTAAAATCTTTATTTTCTGTATAGGAGATAAAAGCACATGGTGTTAAAAAAAAATTCAAAAGGATATATATCACAAAGGTAACTCTCCTTTTCCCTCTCTGCCCTGTCTACCCAATCCCCTCCCAGAAGTCAACTACTGTCACAAGTATCTTTCTGAACTCACTTTAAGTAACGGCCTCTTCTCCTTTGACAGGACTAAATTTTGGCCAGAATGCCCAGGGGAGGGAGAGAGGGCACAATGGCCCAGGACTTTGTTCATATACTGGTTGGGGAGTGAGGTCTTCAGCAAATGAATCAACAGACTGAGGATAATGGGAACCAGTTTTCTAATAGACAGATAAGGGAGTTTAACACACACAAAGGGAGAAGGCCAGAGTAAATCCTTCGCTGTTGAATTATAACTGGCGGTACTGGTTTGAATAGATGGTTTAATACACAGAGAGATAGAAGAAGACAAAATACGAATGTTTGTGTGTGTATATCTATGCATATATATATACACATACATGTATATATATCACATAGGTTTTCTACCTCTGCCCCTCTAGAAAATCTAGAAACAGTGACACTCAGGCAGTAATGAACACACCTAGCACTCATCTATTAGTTTCTAAATATTGTTTTAGTGCTATATTAAAAGTAACCAGGGTTCCCTGGAGAAACAGATGACCCGAGGGCAGGAGCAGAGAAAGTATAAAATGAAGTCTGGGTCATATTGCTATGCCAGCCATAAGGAAGCACTCAGAGAAAGATGGGAACATTCCAAATGACACGTGACAATTTATAGGGGTTCCCCCTGCCAAATCTGTGACAGTTTGAGTATCAAAATAAATAATAATAGTAACATTGTTACTGAATAAATTAAGAGCCTGCATGCTCATAGTTTTATAAATAAATAAGTAAATAAAAGTGGGGCAGGGCGAGGGGAGGGCTACTCAACAGAATGGCAACCAGTAAGTCTAAAAGAATTAGCAAATCACCATTTGACAACTATCACAGTAGTAACTGGTGTGGGCAAGAATTATCAATGAATGCTAAAACTGCCAGGCAAAAGTTTGATGAGGATATGATGTTTATACAGTTTTGAGTTTCTCCCTACAAAGTACTCAGTGATTACTTTTTAGTAAGTATAAAACACTGGAGAAACCTTGCAGACCTCACCACCTTAATCAAGTGATGAGTTAACATCACAAACAATGGGACCAACATCATGCGCCTCCTGATACTATGCACTGAGAAGTGAACAATAGCACTCTGCTGGCATTTTCACTAAAGTCTTTAAATCACAATGAAACATGAACATCAGAGATGTGCCAGAAAGTAACCAGCCTGCACTCTTCAAAAACGTCAAGGTCTTGAAAAACAAGAAGAGTGAGAAACTGTTTCAGCCTGATGGAGGCTAAAAAGACATGATAAGTGAATGCAAATGAATACAATATCCTAGTTTAAATCCTGGATGTACCGGCCATTACATAGACATGTGGCAAAATCTGAATAGGGTCTATGTGATTAGTGATATTGGATCAGTGTTAATCTCTTGATTTCGATGGGTGAATGATGTTGTGTACAAGAGTGCCCTGGAAGTTGCAATATACTCAAGTCTTAAGGGAGCATATAATGCAGTAATGGATATTCATGTCTGCAACCTGTTCTCAACCAATTCAGAAGTATTAACAATTGAGGAATCTGCGGGTGGACTCCAGATCATTTTCTGCAACTTTTATGTAAACATAAAATTATTTCAAAATAAAAACTTTAGGTAATGTTTTCTTTGCCCTCCACCTCTATGAAATATAACCATCAAATAAGTTAATTTCCTACACCTATAAAACCGCACATACTATTTTAACAACTGTTTGTGTTGTTAAAACATAAACATGTATAGGGGTCCTTGAAGAGACTTATTAGTATTTCCACCCTCTGGCCTAGTACACACTAAATAGAAACTAATCCACTATACACACCCCTCCCCTAAAGTTGACTTGATCACTCTCTATTACTTCACAAACTTTTCCAGATAAAAAGAGATTTGAACACTAATTGAAAGATACACCATCTTTATAGTGTTTATAATTATAAACATACAAACTTAAAAGTTTAATTTGATCCATCAAAAACACCAATGGGTCTTTTAGGGGGTAACTATATATGACAATTTTAAAGGTCACAAGAAAAAATATAAATAAGAACTGCTAGAAAACTGTTAAAATAACTGCAAAGAGAAGGGACTAGATTTATCAGATATCAAAACATAGTATAATGCCTCATAATTAAAACATAGACCAGCTGATGAACAGATATAATGTCTGATGGAACAGAACAGAAAGTCTAGAAACTAAAGCTAAATAAGCTGAAGAAAATTTATTACAGGGGAAAAACAAGTGACTCTTTAATAAACGCTACTGGGGCAACTGATAGCCATCTAAGGGAAAAAATAACAACAGTGGAGCCATACTTCATTATAGCTCCAACAATATCAAAACCTTAATGTGAAAAATAAAACTATAGAAGTACTAAAAAGAAAAAAAAAAGAATTTTTCCATAATGTTGGAGTGAGCAAGGTGTAACTATGATTCAAAATCAGAAAATCTATCAGAAAAGATGGATACACTAAAAACAAAAAATTTCTATAAAGCATCTGTAAAGTAATTATCCTTCAATTAAAAAATAAAATTTAAAAATTCTATAAAGCAAAAAAAAAAAAAAGAGAGAGAGAAAACTAAGCAAAGTAAAAAGAAATTAAAGAATTGGGAAAAATATTTACATCTCATATCACAAAGAGCTATTATCCTTCCTAAGTATGAACTCTTATAAATCAGGAGGACCAATGACAGAGTTAAAAATGACCGAGGATATGCAAAGATAAAGAAAATACAAATGGCTCTTAAATAAATAAAAAGATGCTACATGTGAAACAAACAAAACCCCAAGTTTGGTAATATATTATTGGTGAAGCTAGGGGAGAGGCATTCTCATGCATCACTGCTGAGAAGGTAAACTGGTTAAATATCTATGTAAAAATACATGTGGCTTTGACCCAGCACTTCCACTTCCAGATACAGTTGATCATGTATGAAATAAAATATGTACAAGGTAATTCTGGGAAACTGGCTGTAAAAACAAAAAATCGTAACTTTTAGGTCCAACAGGGGACTGGTTAAATGAACTCTGGTACATCCATGCAATGGAGCACAATGTAACTGGTAAAACAAAAAAAGAATGAAAAAGCTCTTTATATGAGACAATAGAAAGATTTCTAAGATGTATTACATAAAAGAATAAGATGCAGAACCATGTACAGTGTGACACGTATAAAATGGTAGAGTTAAATAAAAATATATATCCATATTTCATACAAAAAAGACATAAAGAAATTACTAATAGAGATTGCCACTGGGAGTAGGGAGAAGGAATTGTTGGATGAAAGTTTTTTCATTGTACTCCTTTGGTAGTTTAAAAAAAATGTGAGTTGTGGGAATATATTATTGATTAAAAAAACATACAAAATAAAACAAAACGTTGCTTGGTGTAGGAAACTTGCTATCTATGTGATGAAATCTGTTAGGTAGTTAGAATAGGGAAAAGGAGTCCAAAATGGCAGTGGCTAAAAGACAAGGAAGGGAAAAGCCCGCGAAAATAGAACAGAGGAAGGTCAAAGGAAGGTCTGAGGACGGGGTGAGGACTTCAGGTAGAAGAGCTCCTGCCTAAGCCCAGTTTGCATAGGACGGGCCCAGGGGGAAGGAAAAAACATACAAAAAGAGGAGCCAAGGGCTCTCTCTCTCTCTTTCCTGCGTGCTGGGGCGCTCTTCTTTTAATCGACATGTCCTCATGCCTTGAAGATGGATTGGCCTGCTATCTTCTAAATAAAGTAGAGCTGTAACACTGATTTGTCTAAGAGCTATAACACGGTCTGCTCGAGACGTGAGAGCTATGACACGGTCTGTCCAAGACCCAAAAGCTGTGACACGACGAGGGGGCTTTAATGCCCGTCACTCCAAATCTTTGGTGTGACGAGACAAGAGCTGAGGAGCAGACACTCGCCTGACAAATCCAAACTCCTGAGCTTGGTAAATAAGACCCTTTATAACCGAATGGAGTTGGGTGTACAGGCTAAGAGTGTAATCTAAGGTCAGGTTTGCGGGTACAAAATATAGACTATAAATAGTCATTAGACTGCAAGACATTAGGCATGTAATTTGACTTCTCTAAGCTTCCTCCATAAAACAGAGATAATAGTTCTTCAACCCACCACTGGGCTGTGAGTGAATGAGATAATCTCCAGCGGTGTTCAGCACAGTGCCTGATACACTGTTGGAGACCAGTCAATGCCAGCTCTTTATTATGAATAATATCTTTCCAGATTTCAATATTCTGGTTTTATGGCCATTAACCTGAGGTTCTCAATCTTTCATTATTCCTGGATGCACCAATTTTAAAAAACTAGTTTTCTGATGACTTTGATCTCCATGCTCTCCTGGGATGAACTACTACTTACGATGGTAAAATCTGTACTTCCAGCCACATTTCTTTCCTAAGCTGTAGACTTTAGGTTCTAAGTGATTAGTTAACGTTCACTCCTGGATGTTCCTGTCAAGGTAAGATTCTGCATCCAGTTTCACTGAGTGTGGGTTTTCCCCCATCACCAAGCAATTCCTGGACACTGGTGAGGAGTCCCACAAGTTAACTTAATTTTAACATTATCTACCCAGAGATAGCATCAGACTTCACAGGTTAAGGGCTCGGTCCCATAAGTCTTCCACTTCAGATAACAATCACAAGTTTACGTTGTCACCTGTGCTTCTTACCAACTGGCTATAAATCAGGGGTTCCTATTAGCCCCTGTTAGGGTTTAATTTGCTAGGGTAAAGAATATATAATGGGGAGAAG